CCAATTAACAATGACCCTTTAGGACAGAGCAGAACTGTCCCAAAGGATTTCCAAGGTTGTAAATCTTTTCGGAAGCAGACAACCTCAACTTTCTCATGTGAAGTAGCAAGTAGGTTTGAACCACCTACCTTTTGGTTAGCTGCTGAATGCTTTAACTACTATGCCACCAGAGCTCCTTGGTATGTCCATAATGACCATTAATTTGGAAACGGATCCCAAATAAGGCAATAATTGTAAATATTACGATCCAAATATGACATTTTAACATAATTCTATTTGATATGTAATCTTCAGTATGAAAACTATAAAATTAACAAAAATTAACACTGGAATAAGACTGCTAGATTCATAGTCATCTTCTAGATTTGTTAAATAGTGTCACTTTAGAAAGGGTTCACTTCATTTCTCTTTGCTTCACTTTCATTATTTGTAACCTTGAGATAACCATACTTGCTTTGAAGGAGGAATTTTGAGGTATAGGGAGAAGCTCTAGAACAGTTCGTTAAATATCCTTATTGTTGTCATGTGCCGTTGAGTCGGACTCGACTCATAGTGACCCCTCCTTGGGTTTCCGAGGCAGTATCACTACGGAAGTAGATTGCCCAACCTTCCTTCTGAGGAATGGCTGGTGGGTTTGAAACGCCAGCCTTCTGGGTAGCAGTCAAGTGCCTTAGGCACTATTACTATTGATTTTATTAAATCCTAAAATATTCATTGGAATGAAATTTTATGAGACTATGAAAGAGAATGTCACTATTATTAATTTATTGATTCTATGTTTATCTTTCTTTTTGATGCTTGAGTAATGTCTGAAGAAAATATCTACAAAAAGAATATACTATCAAGATGGAAACCTGGGAAAAAATATGTAAAAAGCAAGAAACTGGGATAAGACTCACTCCCAAGAACTGGCTGTCAGCCCAACAGTTGAAACACATGCAGAACACCCAACCCAGGGCAATGCACGACCTACTCTACGGAGATACACCCCTTGTAGCAATTGGCCATGGGCACCATTCACATGGAGGGAAAGCTGGACAGGAGCACACAATGAAGAGGGCGAGGAGGCAGGGTGTCACAGGGAAGGGAGAGGAGGAGAGTGGGTATATGTAAGAAATAAAAAAAAAAAAGAAATATTGTTAAGTTTGTGTGTAATCAGGGATATAAAGCAAAGACATATAGACAATTATTTTGAGCAATGTGTTGGGAACAGAAACTGGAATATCTCACATGTGAATAAATGCCCACACTTAATGTGTCTATTTCAAATATATACATACATTCATAACATTTATATTACTAACACAATTTTGTTATGTTGTTGTTATTTGCCGTCGAGTCAGCCCGACTCATAGCGACCCCTCCTTGGGTTTCCGAGACAGTATCACTACGGAAGTAGGATTGCCCAACCTTCCTTCCGAGGAGTGGCTGGTGGATTTGAACCGCCAGCCTTCTGGCTAGCAGTCAAGTGCCTTAGGCACTATGCTACCAAAGCTCCTAATACAATTTTAGCTCTGCTTTATTTGTTCTTTTAAATGCAGTTAATCTCATTGTCATCCATGACTCTGAATGAATATAAAATATAAGTGAACACCTCTCTTATTCAAAGCACCATATTAAAACTGGGCAAAATATCATGCTATATGTATCCTATCCATAAAATAGTTATGGCAAAAAATAAGATATCCTCATTTACATGCCTGCTTCCATCTTCCATGCTCATAACTCTCTCAAAACTTTCTGAGTTGAGACAGGGATGCGTAGGAAAGAAGGACAAGGAAAGGGTCACAAGAAGGAGGAAGTGGGAAGAAAGTCACCAGAAGCTCTTTTTTCTGTCTCTAGGAGGGCTCATTTTAATCCTCATGGAATGACAAAAAACAACCAGTCCCCACATTAGGGTTCCGTACACCTTATTTCCATGTCCCCACCCCTAAGTGTGCCATGTACCTTAATTTACATTGTTAACAAGCTATCCAATCCCCTTAGTTAACCACAAGCAACTCACCCAGTCATGTGGTGGAAGACACGAAGACCATGGCTACAAGAGTCATATTAAGTAATACACAACACCACACTTATCAACAAATAATTCGTGACTAAATTTTTTAAATATACAAAAAAAAGAAAAAGAAAACTATTAAGAAAGAACCTAATTCTTAGTGTCAGTTTGATAGGGAATGTGTAATAGCTCTAAGATTGATGGTGTTGGTGGGTGTTAGACTAAAATGAGAACAGAGGACTACATTTGCTTGTCTCCTGAAACAGCTGACCTCCTGCCTAAGAAGGCAAGAAGGGCATCATTTCTCCTTCTCAATGCTCCACTTCTGAATGCTCTGAGACTCAGAGACTCAGTGACTACAACAAGAAAAGTAGACAGGTATAATTTTGCTCAAAAAAAGGAAATGATGAATTCATAGTACTAATGTGAAAACATTGATAAGATACTATTTTGTAATTTCACACAAACCTCTGTGAACTTTGATATTTACTAAAAGGCTAAACTAGCTTCCCAGTAGTACACTGAAATTTAAAAGCATGCCCATTACTGTTAATGAAAGCAGGATTTAAATTAACGTCACCATTGCTGGAATATTGTTAGTTATACACGACTGAGCTGATCTAGCATGTTGCTCTCAATCAGTGTCATTCTAATCTTATGGTTTTCCACTGTTGGGGGTCAAGGTAAGTTGAAAACAAATCTAAATATTTAGTTTCCCTTTCAAATGTGTATGATGATTTTTTTGTTTTTTGTATGTATGTCTGTGCATGTAATTTATTCATCTCTAAGTGTGCAAATAAGTGATAACATTTAGAATGAGTATTTTGAATATCTAGGATGAAACTTAAGAGAAAATAGAATAAAATGGATTTGCTTTGTTGTCTAAGTTCCAAAGTGCAAATAGTTACAAAATACAGAATTTGTAAAGTAATTAAATGGTGTAAAATCTGCTTAAAAAAGAAAATGACAAGGCAAAATATCAATGTAATGCTGCATAAATTCTGCAATGCCACTGGCCAAAACAATATAAACCAAAAAGATTTGGAAAAATTCAAAATATTTGGAAGATTTTGTTTTTATAGATTTGTTCATTTAAGATTTTAAATATCATTAAAATCAGGGATTTTTTACTTCAATCTAATTATCATTCAACAAAGGGATAACTCTTTTAAGAAAACAATAAAGTTTATTTTTATCTGGAAACCAGTAAAATACCAGTAAGTTATTTGCTTTCTATGAGTTCTTCAGCAAACGTTGAAGGTGAAAGGGCATGGTATATCACTTCTTTATCAAAACTATACACTATATCATGTAATATTTTAAATGCTGCTCCATGTTATTTCATGTTGCAATAAAAGGCATCATACCCAAATAGCTGCAAACACAATCTCTAAAAAGGTCTAGGATAGTTGATTAAACTATGTGTATACATGGATTCTGAATCACTGTGATTTACTATATAAATTCAAAAAAAATAATTTATTTCACTATTTTGTTACTTGCTAACTTTTGCATATTATTAACATTTTACTTGGACTTTTTCTCTTTAGTTGTGAAATAAGAGGACATTAGGAACAATAAATATACTGTCCTTTTAAGACTTACCCTCATAAAAGTTTCAAAGCATAATTCCTATATACTTGAGACTCATTTTAAAAGATAACAGGAAAGCAGTTAGCTAATGGTAGAAAAATACTTTCTCTCTAATGACAGACCTTGCTTAGTCTCAATTAAAATTACCTAATTTGGAGGTTAGGAGCTCTGGTGACATAGTGCCTAAGGCATTTGCTAACCAGAAGGCTGGTGGTTCAAACCCACGAGCTACTTCTCGGAAGGAAGACTGGGCAATCTACTTCTGTAATGATACAACCTCCGAAACCCAAGGAAGGGTCACTATGAGTCTGATCTGACTCGATGGCAGTAAGTTTTTAAGTTTTTAATTTGGAGATTATCACACAGTGAGGACTGTATTTTCATAGCACCCTCAATGAAAAACTGCATTAATGGGTGTATTTGTTGGGGTTTTTGGTTTTGTCTTGCTTTTAACCTGTATTTCTGGTATATATTAAGTTGTGTAAACATCTTCTAGAGATGGCATTAAAAGGGGATTTCTAAATGGGGAAATAAGCAGAGGATGATCAGTATAAAAATGTGAGAATAGTGTGTAGAATACTGCCAACCTCTAATGCAGAAAAATGTACTCCAGCTGCAATCTGGTCTCCTAGAGGATCATTAGTAAAGCTCCTTCCAAAAGTTGTCTAGTTATTAAATGGGCTGTAAGTTTTCATCACACTTAAATTTAGATGACTATTGACAAATTCCTCAAAAGGCCACAGCAACACAGTAAGTTATACTTTTGTATAAATAGGAAACTCTGCATGTTTTTAGTAATCAAATATTTAACAAACAATACATTATGCTTCATGCAACAGCAAAGAAGCTGTGAAGGAAAAGAAAAACCCAACCGTATGTCACTGCAACTTACTGTCTTTTAGGAGGAAAGCAAACATGTAAACAAGTAAATAGATTGCAAGAGTATATATAGGAAATATAAGCTTCTATTAGAATTTAGAGGAAAATAAATTATTTTCTACCTGTGGAGTGGGTGCTTGAGTAAAGAAGGAAAGCTGACATCCGTAACTAGCACCGTGGCTGAAGTGCACAGTGAACATCTCCTAAGCGTTGTAGAATGAATTTGGAAGGATGAGTAGAATAAGGATAATTGGAGGATGGGAGCAAAGTTATTCTGGGCACAAAGAATGTTGTTGTTGTTGTTAAGTGCCATCGAGGAACTTATTCATAAGGAAATGAATAGCAAAGAAACACTGTTTGGGTACAAAGAATATGTAAGTACAAATATGTGGAAATCAAGTACTGTAATTTCATTGGAGCAAAAGGTATTTGAAAAAGACTGAAGGGAGGAAATACTGGCAGTGCGTGTGTGTGTGGGGGGGTCTCTTTCCATAATATACTCTCCAAAACTATCTGAAATCTAATTTTAAGTCGTTCAATAAGCAATTTCAGGTTTCACAGATCAAATGCACAGAAATCATAGTTTCAAATCGAACATTGAACATTACCTCTAGATAAATGTAAAAGGAGACTATCCCTGGTTAAGTGATTTGTGAGCAGAATTTCTGCAAGTGCTCCCCCCCACCACAACGGGAAGAAAAAATAATAATATTTCTTAAAAACCAGTACCATGTTGAGGGAAAAAGGGATCTCTGGTGGTATAGTAGGAGCTCTGGTGGCCTGGTGCCTAAGGCATTTGACTGCTAACCAGATACCTGGCAGTTCAAACCCACCAGCCACTCCATGGAAGGAAGGTTGGGCAATCTACCTCCATAGTGGTATCGCCTCAGAAACTGAAGGAGGACTCTTTATGAGTTGGATCTGACTCGATGATAATGTGTGTGGTTTTTTGTTTTTTTTGGGGGGGGGGGGCATAGTGCCTAAGGCATTTGACTGCTAACCAGAATGTTGCCAGTTCAAACCCACCAGCCACTCCATGGAAGGAAGACTGGGTAATCTACTTCCATAAAGTTTGACCACCTCAGAAACCCAAAAAGGGGTTGCTATGAATCAGAATGGACTGGATGGCAGTGAGTTTGGTTTAGTTGGTTTGTACTGAGAAAATAAATTTAGCTAAAAAGTGAAGTTAATTGTTGGTCTCAGAAAAAAGAGTACAAAAGTATAATGATTTCAAACATTTTCTAAATTATTTTAACATGTCTTCCTCCACAGTGTCTATGGATGCGAATATATGTCTGTGTTTGTGTGCAGATAAACAGAATAGACAAAAATATATTAGATATATAACAGAGATAAAGAAAAGTGAGGAATTTGCCTGGTTAACTAATTTATGAGCTAAATTTCTGCAAATTTCTTCCCCCAGTCCCCAAATAAGGAGAAAAATAAAAATACATCTTAAAAAGAAGTACTCTATTAAGGAAATAACTTGAGCTAAAAATGAACTTAATTGTCATTACCAAAAATAGAGTACACATTGTTGTTGTTGTTATGTGCCGTCAAGTCAGCCCCAACTCATAGAGACCCCTCCTTGGGTTTCCGAGGCAGTATCACTACGGAAGTAGATTGCCCAGCCTTCCTTCTGAGGAGTAACTGGTGGTTTTGAACTGCCAGCCTTCTGGTTAGCAGTCAAGTGCCTTAGGCACCACGCAACCAGAGCTCCTGGAGTATACATTACATATACATAAACAGATATTGTAGAATCACACACATATATATTATCAGAATTCAGCTGTAAGAACATTGTGATGGGTGAAGTCAATCAGGTACATGGGAATAAAGAGCACAGGGAACATAAACAGAATGTACAGTCTTACTGAGGTAACCATGTGTTGTTGTTCTTAGGTGCCATCAAGTCAGTTCTGGTTCATAATGACCCTAAGTTCAACAGAACCAATGCTGTGTTTGAGCACATCACTATAGCCACTGTGTCAATCCATCTCCTTGAGGGGCTTCCTTTATTTCATTGACCCACTAATTTACCAAACATGATGTCTTTCTCCAGGGACTGATTACTCCTGATAATTAGTACAAAATATGAGAGGCAAAGCCTTGCCATCCTCACTTCTAAGGTGCGACTTGGCTGTACTTCATCCAAAATAGATTTGTTCATTTTTCTGTCAGTCCATGGTATATTTAATATTCTTTGCGAACACCATAATTAAAAGGCATCAGTTCTTTACATGGTTATGGAGAGACAAAAGGAGGGAGGAGTGGGGAGTTATTGCTTAATGGATACTGAGTTTCTGTTTCAGGTAACAAAAATAGTTTCAGAGGTTCATGGTGATACCGTTAACTGTTAATGTAGTTAGTGTTACTGAATTAGACACTCTGGAAAATGGAGAGTGGAAAAATGTTGTGCTGTGTATATTTTACCACAATGAAATTTGAAAACTAAAAAAAAAAAAAAAAAAAAAATTCAGCTGCAATTTATCTTGATTGGGTTGTTCTTAATAATTCTTAATATTCTCTAAATTGTTTCCACTGGAAATGCATTAACTTGCAACCAGAAGAAAAAAATCAAAACAATGGCTTTAAAAAACACAAGTCACCTACCCAACATCTTTACTATACTAGAGGTAAAAATAGGACAGAGATTTCTGATGAAGATACTCATGATTATCAATCACAAGAATACAGAGAGGAAGTGAGTTAATTGAGAGCTGACCTACTCTTACAGTCTGCCTTTTTTCTTAAATTGTTGTGTAGGGTTTTATTCTTGACAATACTTCCAAAGAGTCTCAATTTAGTATAACTCCAAAATGTAAATTTTATAATCCTTGGCAATGGACTCCTCAAATGCTCTTGTGCTTTTAATTAGAGCTCATTCCTTGTTGATAATTAGTGCACTGGAAGGAACTTAATCTGAAGGTACTTTAGCTAAAAGAAAGAAAGAAAGAAATCATCGATGAAATGATTAAAATATGATTTAATGGTACATTAATGTAAAATATTATTTAATTCTTTAGTTTTGTTTATTTTCCACAGGGGGATTTTGTGGTTTTCCGAAAATAAAGCATGGAATTCTATATGATGAAAATAAATATAAATCAGCCCTTCCAGCTGCTGTGGGAACAATCTTCTATTACTCCTGTGAATATAGTTTTATGTCTCCTTCAAAATCCTTTTGGACTCGCATAACCTGCACTGAGGAAGGATGGCTGCCAACCCCTAAGTGCCTCCGTGAGTAAATACTCTCACTATGGCCTTCATCAATCATTCAGTGAATGCAGGGAACATACAGGGTTGCTAAGAGTCTAAAACAACTAGACAGCATGCAACAACAACACCACCAAAAGGGATCCCTGGAACTTGACAGACAATCATAGGGGTGGGGACTAAAGTAGCCTGCAAATCTGACAGATGTGGTCCTTTTTTTGTGAATAGCCTTTTACGAAAACAACATGAAAAGTAAAAACATGAATTTGCTTCTATTATCTAGACATATTCTGCTTATTGATATATTTTAATTTTAGTAACTGATGATTGATAAATTTGAGTATTCATGTTTCAGTCCAAATATTTGTTTCATAGCTGTGTGACTTATTTTTCCATAAAAATTACTTTACATACACATTCAATTTTGGAAGTTATCTTGAATATTATAAGGATTATGTAAAATTTAGTGTTTTCACTTTCATATTGCCCATAATTAAACTTCTTTGGTACTCAGAATTCTGTCTACATTAATCTTTCAATGAATGTAGAGAGCAGACTAAAGTGATTGTTGAATATTAAGGAGAAGAAAATAGTATGCAGACTATATGTGCCAACAGAGGAGATAATAATAGTCTTTCTTCATCTATAAAACAACATTTATGAGAATTAAGAAAGCTATAGATATACTAAGGTAGTGTTTTGTATATACAAGTGATTTATAAACATAAAAATACATTTTTATAAAAAGCATAGCACAACAGCATGGAATATTGACTTTAATAAAATATATATATTTATATTAATTCCCTGTCAATAAAAATAAGGAAAAGATAAAAATGAATGTCCAAAGAGACTCTGAAACTTGCTTGAACATACAGCAGCTGAAAGAAATGAGGAAGTAAAAGAGCTGAACAGAAGATTTCAAAGGAGTAAGTAAAATATAACAACAAAATGTGCAAAAACCTGGAGTTAGAAAACCAAAAGGGGAGAATGTACATAGCATTTCTCAAGCTGAAAGAACTGAAGAAGAAAATTAGCCTAAAGTTCCAATATTGAAGGATAATATGGGCAAAATAGTGAATGAAGCAGAAAGCATTAAAAGAAGATGGAAGGAATGAAGAGAACACCTGTACCCAGAAGAACTGTTTGACATTCAAACATTTCAGGAGGTAGCATATGATCAAGATCTGGTGGTATTGAAAGAAGAAGTCCAACCTGAACTGAAGAAATTTGTGACAAACAAAGCACCAGGAATTGATGAAATCTGACTGAGATGTTTCAACAAACTAAAGAAACGCTGGAAGCACTCACTCAGCTATGACAAGAAATTTGGAAAAATCTACTGGAGAAAGATAGGAAGAGATCTATATTTGTGCCCATTCCAAAGAAAGGTGATCCAACAAAGTGTGAATATTATCAAACAATGTCATTAATACTACACACAAGTGAAGCTGTACTGAAGATAATTCAAAATGTTGGCAGCAGTACATCAACAGAGAACTGCTGGAAATTCCATCCAGATTCAGAAAAGGATGTGGAAATAAGGGTGTCATTGCTGATGTCAGATGGATCTTGGCTGAGATCACAGAGAACACCAGAAAGATGTTTACCCATGTTTTATTGACTATACAAAGACATTTGACTGTGTGGATCATAACATATTCTGGATGACATTGTGAAGAATGGGAATTCCAGAACACTTAATTGTGCTCATATGGAACCTGTACATAGAACAAGAGGCAATAATTCAAACAGAACAAGGGGTTACTGAGTGGTTTAAAATCAGGAAAGCTGTGTATCAGGGTTGTGTATCCTTTCACTATAGCTGATCAGTCTCTATGCTGAGCAAATAATCTGAGAAGCGGGACTACATGAAGAAGACTGTGACATCAGGACTGAAAGACTTACTAACAGTCTGTGATATGCAGATGACCCAACATTTCCTGCTGAAAATGAAGAGGACTTGAAGCACTTACTGATGAAGAGCAAATACTGTCTTCAGTATGGATTACACCTCAACATAATTAAAACAAAATCCTTACAACTGGACCAATAAACAACATCATAATAAATAGAGAAAAGATTGATGTTGTCAAGCATTTCATTTTACTTGCATCTATCATCAACATCCATGGAAGCAGCAGTTAATTTTCAATTGCATCATATGCATGCAAAAGCTGGACAATGAATAAGGAAGACCAAACAAGAATTGATGCATTTGAATTATGGTGTTGGCAAAGAATATGGAATATACACCACGGACTGCCAGAAGAATGAACAGGTCTGTCCTGGAAGAAGCACAACCAGAATGTCCCTTAGAAGTGAGAATAGCGAGACTTCATCTCACATACTTTTGACATGTCATCAGGAGGGCCCAGTCCCTGGGAAGGATATCACACCTGGTAAAGGAAAGGATCAGTGAAAAAGTGGAAGACTCTCAATGAGATGTACCAACATGATGACTGCAACAATGCTCTCAAATATAGCAATGATTGTGAGGATGGTGCAGGGCCTAGCAGTGTTTCATTCATTGTAGGTAGGGTCTCTATGAGTTGGAACCAACTTGATGACACCCTACAACAACATACATGTAGTCCTCAACTTAGGACAGGGTTTATTCCAAGATTCCATTAGAAATTAGTTCTGATGTAAGTCAAATATATTTTTTTATCCTAGTTTTCATTATTTTTGTCTTTTATTATCAGCATCTATAAATCTGATCTTTATTTGTCTTCTGGGGTTAGAGACATTACATGTAAACTTAAAGATGTATACTTACATACATGCAAAACAATAAATCATAAAAATTTACTCAGTCAATGAAGACAGATTGGACAACTTTGGCATTTTTGTCAGTTGTGGCAAAAACTTCACTCATGGAATGATCTGGATCATCTTGATTATCCCCGGAAATTGTAACAGCATTTCTAGTAAGAAAATTAGTGAGCATTGTCTGGCTACTCTTCTTTTTTTTTTTTTTTTTTTCCTACATATATTTTGTGATAACGTCTTACTGCTTTCCGAATCTGCCTGTTAACATTAGTAAATCAATTAGTTTTGGGGTCCATGTTTTCAAGAAACTGAAGTTCTGATTTAGTTTAGAAAAAACTTCAGCTAAGACTTACTGTAACATTTTTGACATCTTCTCTTCTTTCTCTTCCACGTTATTTTTTTTTCTTCAGCATTTCTTTCCCCTTCAAAATTTATTAAGTGCTGACATGTCAGTATACATGTTTGAACATTGAACGTCTGTGAGTGAACACCAGAGAATGATAGCATCAGTAAATTACAAATTATGGGATGCAACATTGTATGTCACACATTTTCCTAATGATAACATGTACAAAAATAAATAGTGCAATTCTTCATAACTTCATAACTTGAATACGTCCTAAGTCATGGACTACATATATATGTGTTGTTGTTTGTTGTTAGGTGCCATCGAGTCATTTCCAACTCATAGCAACCCCATGCACAGCAGAACAAAACACTGCCCGATCCCATGCCAGCTCCATGATCCCTGCTATACTTGAGCCCATCATGGCAGCCACCATGTCAATCCATCTCATTGAAGGCCTCCCCTCTTTCATCGACCCTCCACCCTACCAAGCATGACATCCTTCTCCAGGGAATGGTCCCTTCTGACAACATGACCAAAGTAGGTGAGATGAAGTCTGCCATTCTCACTTCCAAGGAGCATTTCAGGTGCACTTCTTCCAGGACAGATCTGTTAGGTCTTTTAGCAGTCCATGGTACTTTCAGCATTCTTTGCCAGCACCACAACTCAAAAGCATCAACTCTTCTTCAGTCTTCCTTATTCATTGTCCAGTTCTCACATGCATATGAGGCAATTGGAAATATCATGGCTTGTGTCAGGTATACCTTAGTCCTCAAAGAGACATCCTTGTTCCTCAGCACTTGAAACAGTTCCTTTGTGATTGACCTTCCGAGTGCTATGTGTCGTCTAATGTCCTGACTGCTGCTTCCATTGGCATCGATTGTAGAACCAAGCAACGTGAATTCTTCGACAACTTCAATCTTCTCTCCAATTATTGTGAGGCTGCTCATTGGTCCAGTTGTGAGGATTTTTGCTTTCTCTATATTGAGACGTAAACCATACTGCAGACTGTGTTCTTCAGCCTTCATCAGTAAGTGCCTCAAGTCATCCTCACTTTGAGCAAGCAAAGTTGTATCGTCTGTGTATCTCAGGTTGTTAATGATTCTTCCTCCAATCCTGATGCCGTGTTTTTCTTCATATAGTCCAGCTTCTTGGCTTATTTGCTCAGCAAATAGATTGAATAAGTGTGGAGAAAGGATACAACTCTGATGCACTCCCTTCCTGATTTTAAACCATGCAGTGTCCCCTTGTTCCATTTGAACAACAGCCTCCTGGTCAAGGTACAGGTTCCTCATGAGTACAATCAAGTGTTTGGGAATTCCCATTCTTCTCAATGCTATCCATAATTTGTCATGATCCACACAATCAAATGCCTTTGCATAGTCAATAAAACACAAGTAAACATCTTTCTGGTATTCTTTGCCTTGAGTCAAGATCCATCTGACAATGCCTATGATATCCCTTGTTCTTTGTTCCTTCTTGCTGTCAGTGATAGGATAACATCCATACGCCTACAAGGAAGACCCATTAATATGACTATTATTCAAAGTTATGCACCAACCACCAAAGCCAAAAATGAGGATATTGAAGATTTTTATCAACTTCTGTAGTCTGAAATGCATGCAATCAAGATGTGTTAATTATCACTGGTGACTGAAATGCAAAAGTTGGAAACAAAGAAGAATCACTGGTAGTTGGAAAATTTGGCCTTGGTGATAGAAATAATGCTGGAACTCACATGGTAGAATTTTGCAAGACCAATGACTTGTTCATTGCAAACACCTTTTTTCAACAAAAAAAATGGCAGCTGTACACGTGGACTTCACCAGATGGAACACAGAGGAATCAGATTGAATACTTCTGTGGCAAGAGGCAGTGAAAAAGCTCAAGATCTTCAGCCAAAACCAGGCCAGGAGCTGATTGTGGAACAGACCATCAACTGCTCATATGCAAGTTCAACTTGAAGTTAAACAATTAAAACAAGTCCAGGACAGCCAAAATGTGATCTTGAATATATCCCTCCTGAATTTAGAGATCATCTAAAGGATAGATTTGATGTATTGAACATCAATGACCGAAACCAGAAGAATTGTGGGAGGATATCAAGAACATTATCCATGAAGAAAGCAAGAGATCACTAAAAAGACAACAAAAGAAGAGAAGACCAAAATGGATGACAGAAGAGACTCTGAAACTTGCCCTTGAGTGGAGAGTAGCTAAAGCAAATGGAAGAAATGACTAGATACAGGAGCTGAACAGATTTCAAAGAGCAGTTCGAGCAGACAAAAGCAATTACTATAATGAAATGTGCAAAGACCTGGAGTTTGAAAACCAAAAGAGAAGAACATGTTTGGCATTTCTCAAGCTGAAAGAATTGAAGAAAAAATTTAAGCTTCGGGTTGCAATATTGAGAGATTCTATGGGCAAAATATTGAATGATGCAGGAAACATCCAGAGAAGATGGCAGAAATACACAGAGTACTGTGTCATAAAGAACTGGTCAATCTTCATCCATTTCAGGAAGTGGCATATGATCTAGAACTAATGGTACTGAAGGAGGAAGTCAAAGCTGTAATGAGAGAATTGGCAAAGAACAAGGTTCCAGGAATTGACGAAATACCCATTGAGATATTTCAACAAATGGATGCCCCATTGGAGGCACTCACTTGGTTATGCCAAGATATTTGGAAGACAGCTATCTGGCCAACTGACTGGAAGAGATCCTTATTTGTATCCATTCCAAAGAAAGGTGATCCCACAGAATGTGGAAATTACAGAACAATATCATTAATATTGCATGCAAGTAAGATCTTACTGAAGAGAATTCAAAAATGGTTGCAGCAGTATATTGACAGAGAACTTTCAGAGGTGCAATCTGGATTCACAAGAGGATGTGGAACATATATATGTAGTCACATATATGTCTCTCTCTATATATATATTATCATAACTAAATTATGTTTATACTTAATTTCAGTTTCAAAAGTTTGCTACTCTTTAAAATATTGTAAAATGAAATTTTAGATATATTTTTTTCCACTTTCATCTTTTACGTTAATCAACTTTTTTTCCTTAGGATTGTGTTTCTTTCCTTCTGTGGAGAATGGTTACTCTTCGTCTGCAGGAAAAACACACATAGAAGGTAACATGGTGAAAATTGACTGTGACATAGGCTATAAACTTCCAAATAATGAGAGCACCATTTCATGTGCAGAAGGTGGCTGGTCCTCTCCTCCCAAATGCAGCTCCATCAGTAAGTAAACATACAGTTTTCTGAGGTCCTGCTATGGTTTATATTTGTTGTTGTTTGAAGTAAACAAATATATTGTGTCACATTATATATATATAGGTTTGGTACTAGCTTACATTGCTGTCATTATGTGGTTTTTTTGTTTTGTTTTTGTTTTTCTAGTTCCAGCTGTGTTTGAGTAGATATATAAATCATGTAGTGTAATAGGGGAAAAGAGACCCCAGATTCCAACAGGTTCAACAGAGACACTTTTATCAAGACTTGCACAGAACAAAGACAAAGCAAAGACAATTATCCAGGATGAGGGAAACCATCAGCGTGTACACAGTATAGAAAGCTGAATGGAGCCTGCTGAGTCACAACCATGGGGCTAATTCCATATGATTGAAAACAAAGGGAATAACCACAAAATCATTATTGGTGTGATTGATTCAACACTGTTGCAGGTGGGACTACAGAACCCAAGAAAGGACCATGATTGGGATACATACACAATTGAAGATAAAAAAGGGTTACAGGATTGGTTCTGGGCCTTGACTACCTGGCTAGGTGGTGGTCCAGATGACTCATGACAATACAACCTGGACAGGACAGTGTTTCATTCTGTTGTACATAGGGTCACTATGAGTCGGAGTCAGCTCAACACCACCTAATAGCAAAAACAACATACTTGGTTCAATAAATATCAATATCTACATTTTAGAAGTTCGTTCTCCTGAGAGTTTTGTGTATGGTAAGTGGCTTAGAATTTGGAAACAATTTCCCTTTGAAACTAGTATAAATGATGGCACCTCCCAGTCCTGTGGGAATTCGTATAATTCTCCATCTTTACAGTTTTTTAGTAATAGATCTCAGTCCAGCCTCATGGAATTCCAACTTATGCTTGCCCAAATTAGTATTCAACCAAAGACTCAGTGAGACCTTTGTGTAAATTTCTAGAACTCCTTTTCTACATAGTACTCACTGTCTGTTATTTACCCTGTAAATTCTAGCCATGTTGGCCTCTGAAACACTGATCTAACCAATCTCCACTCAGGAAGTGGATCCTCCCTTCTTGCAACATGGTTTGGAAGTACCTTAAGGCAGAGAGTTAGAGCAGTCATAGAAAGCACTTTGGTTTATTTGTTGTTTTGTTCATTTTTTCAGTCATCACAATCCTATGTTGCCTGATATGCAGACTTCTGAAAATACATGCTGTATACATATGCTGTATATATATGTTTCTAACTTTTTGTTCATTGAAATGGCATATTGGTACCAGCTAGTCCATAATGTCAGAGAATGGAGGTCTAGCTGTGTTTTTTGTTGTTATTGTTATTAAATATTACTCTACACCTTCCAATTTTCAAATTTAAAGCTATAGAAAATAGAATCAGTTGCTGATGAGTCAATTCTGACTCATGGGGACTCCTTGTGCATCAGAATAGAACTGTCTGTGTTTCATAGAGTTATTTGGCAATTGTAAGTATTGTAATTTGGGAGTCTTGTATGATGTGGGCAAGCCATCTGCAATGGATCTCTTTCAAGTGTTGAGGAGCAAAGATGTCTCCTTGAGGACTAAGGTGCACCTGACACAAGCCATGATATTTTTAATTGCCTCATATGCATGTGAGAGCTGGACAATGAAAAAGGAAGACTGAAGTATAATTGATGCTTTTTTTTTTTTCTTGTCATTCTCTTCTTTCTTTTTTTTTTAATTTTATTTTGATTTGGGTGAAGATTTACACAGTAAATTCACTTTTCATACAGCAGTTCACATATACTTTGTCTCATGTCATTGACCAAAATTTACAATGCAAC